TTTCGTTAATCGGCGTGAGTTCTCAACCAAATCGTAGCCAGCCTTTGATCGCGTGTTAAAGGAGCAGTAGATTCCGGAGCTTGAAGCCAGGGTTGCCATCCTCAATGAGAGTCGGCAGCCACTTCAGACACAGTGGGCGCGGTTTATGCGTCCTCTGGTCGCGAAGAAGTTATCATGGCAGACGGAAAGACCAAGTCTTCTGGAGTCCTCCGTGTTGTGTTTGACGCACTTGCCTGCCCAAAGTGGAGGAACCGTTGCGCCTAATGGGTTGTGCTCTGCCCATCATTTTCTCGATGTCTAGTAGTGCAACACGATCCCAGATCCGCGAAATATACCAAGACGTCGCTCCGCGCGGCCGTTGCATGTCTGGATCCACAATGTAGATCTGCGCAAACTTGGGTGCTACTCGCGCGCCTGTCCGACGGTCTATGTGGGGGAGGAGAGATCCTAGGTAGTGCCCCATAGCCCCTTGAATGCGATATGTGTACACCCCGTGTGTACCCGCAACGCTCTCGTCTTGATGCACATTTTGAAACGATCGGTTTGAGCACGAAGCACCAATCGATGTAAACGCGAAGGCTTGGTTGTAAGCACGAATTTGACGGCGGAACTCGGGATCTCCGTACAGCTGAAGCAGCTTCCGTGGCGCGGGGTGCAGTGGAGGCAGATTTACCCTGCCTGCGAGACAGCATGATATCGCAGACTCCCCAGGCCACTTCCAAGCATTGCAGATCGGACAAACTGTTGTAGCCGGGAGCTTGTGTCGCCCGTTGACCACGTGGTCACCTGTTATCATGGACGCGTCGAAGTCTTCGAGGGAAATAAGAGCATGTCCATGACGGACACATTGTCGTCTAGTGCGCACCCGCTCGAGCTCGTACTGGCGCTCGTCTTGTGTCTGCTCAGCTCGTCGATCAGCATGCCGTTGTCGGTCCAGCTCGCGCTCAGCATCTCGTTCTTGTCCCGACAGATCGGCCCGTCGATCGGCGTGCTGGTGGCGGTTTAGCTCACGTTCAGCGTCCCGGTCTTCTTGTGGTAGCTCTGCTCGGCGAACCGCATGCTGTTGGCGGTTTAGGTCGCGTTCGTATTGTCGCTGCTGTTCATTTAGCTCCGCCCTGTGTGCTGTTTGCTGCTGCCGATTATTCACTCGTTGTTCGTGAAGATCTTCTCCACGTAACCGAGCTCTTCGGGCACGCTTGCGCTCTGCGTCCTTTTTCCTCGCACGATCACGCTGAGAGAGTGACATATTAGCTCGTCTTGTGCGAGATCTCTGTGCGTCGCATGTACGGTCGCGATCTGTCTGAGACAGTGTCCTGTTAGCTCGTCTTTCGCGAGCTCGTTGCGCAGCTGACACCGGAATCGCTTCTTGAACAGGAGCTGGAGGTATTAAAAGCACTGCCAATGAAGCCACCTCGGTAGCTCCCGCTTGATACGCTGCCTCCATCTGGGCCGCAAACCGGCGCTGAAATATAACAGGATCGGACTCTTCCGTCTTTTCCTCCCGCTCTTCAAAACGGCCAGCTTGACCTTCCGTAACTTCCGTAACCGCAGTTGCTTCTTGGTGCACACTGAGGGCTTGAAGCGCTTTGTTCAAGTCGCAGCGCTTCCTCCTGCGCTTGTTCATACGTCGCTTCCGTGCTTCCTTCTCCTCTTGCATGGGTGTCGCATTGATCAGTTCATTCTCGCGCAGAGCCTCCTCAAGTTCTTCCCGCGTCCTTTTCCGCTTAGTTCGAGCCATCAGCCTGCGAACACGAAAACGTGACGCGTTAGACATAGTCTAAGTACACCGCACGTAGCAGTAGTTTTCATAATGTAGGGTGTGGGGACATCTGCGTACTACCCGGGATTGCTTGCTCCCATCAAGGTTATCTCCGATCACTTATCCCATAGTCACGGGCCGTCAGGCCCGGAGCGGTTTTAGTTTGCAAATTGTGCAGTCGAATCTTCAGGGTTGGGCCCCTGGATAGTACTGTAGCTTGAGGTGCGATATCCTTTTGCCAAAAAGGCGGCCGTTAATTGCAAAGGCTGGTTATTGATAGGCTATTACAGCCCCCATCCCATCTGTCGGTTAAAAGGGGCCAGTTACGGTACCCCTCCTAACCAACTGCACGCACGCAATGTGCGTGCCCATCAATAACCGTTAACGACCGGCTCAACTGGTTCGCTGTCGGGTTTGCGGTCAATGGACCAGGTGCCAAATGTGCTCTCGCGCAGAGTGGGCGGTAAGATAAAGCCCCAAGAACCCAGAGGGCTCTGGAACTAAATCCCCATAGCACGGCTACCTACTTGCAGGATAAAAAATCCCGCAAGTTATAAGCTACCGCCTAGGCAGCCCCAGGAACCTCGGACTATCTGTCTATGTGTGTCTTGCTAGCTACTAATGTAAAGTAACATGCATACACGCAGCGTACCTCGAGTAACGTGGCGTTCCGCGGCTTCCGTTTCGAAAATGGGGGCAAAATGAAATTTAAACGGTGCTTTTAAGGACGATGTGTAGACCA